GCTTATGCTAATGAAGCCCGGGAAATTCAAATCCCGGGCTTCATTAGCAAGTGCGGTATGCATACATTACCCCGCTAGTTCGAACTAGCGGGGTAGTGTAGACATACCCTGAGGGAGTTCACAGGTACCGAGAAGGGATGGGGGAGGGGAGAGTGAGTGACACCATAGAAAGAGAATGTCAGGAACAGAATCAGACAATGCAAAGCCATAACAAGGGTAGGACAAGTGGGGCACTCGCCCCATACACAGTACATGTAGGGGTGCAAAATTAAAAATTAGAAAGTTCAAATATTATTTCATATATATCTTTACTATCATCTATTTGCAATCTCAAAATATGTGCAATTAACAACATGTGCAATGAATAAAATTCATACAAAAAATTAATAATTTTATTATTTTGGGGGTGGAGGGTGCAGTTCAGCCACTTGTCCCAGGCACAGAACCCAAGTGGAGTCTGCAGGGTGGGAGGGGATGTTGGGGAGAAAGTGAATCTCTTCACACATTGTCCTGGGATAGTTGTGAGGCTGCAGGGATGTTGGTTCCTTTGCTGGGACAGGCCTGAGTGACAGAGGAATCAGGAGGCTTCAGACCTTTTTATATTAAATACCTGAGGGTGCGTCTACACTGCGGGACAAAATCAAATTAAGCTACATGACTTCCGCTGCATTAATTGCATAGCTGCAGTCGAAGTAGCTTAACTCAGCCATTGGAGCTGTCCACACAGCAGGCAGTGGAGGGAAGAGCCCTCTCCCTCCGACTTTTCTTACTCCTCCTGCAATGAGGGCTACCGGCATTGACAGAAGCGCCCCTCAGTGCGATTAGCTGTCTTCACTCAACCGCTAATTCAAACCCTGGAAGATCAACAGCAGCAGCCCTCATCTTCTCTGTAGTATAGATGCACCCAAGTGTGTCTCTGCTGTAACGAAAACCCAGGTCTGTGTGTTAGATGTGTGGGGATGTTGTGTACAATATGGACTCCTGAAATCTCACCTTTCTTCTCCCTTCCCCCACCAGACACGCTGCCCTCTGTTCTGGAAGGAGCAGGAGGGAAGTTCCTGGGACCTTTCAGACAGGGTGAGGTTTCAAGTGGAGACTGAAAACACCTTCCTGAGTTTGTGGCTCAACTCACTGACCAAATCCCCAGCAACCACGACAGGCAGAGCCCCAAACCTGCCCACTGAGCGGTGAGGAGCCCCAGGAGCACTGGATCAGAAGGACGAGGGGCCGTGTCCTGCCCCTTTAAGCAATGGGATGGTCGGACCCCCCACTTCTCACTATGGGCGCAGTTTGCAGGCAGGGGGCTTTGCAGGCAGGGGCTGCGCTTTGTGTCGGGGCAGCTGATCAGCGCAGCCCCTCCTTGGGCACCAGCCTCTGCCCTGTGCTGCCCCTCCCAGTGACCCCAGAAGCCAGAGCTGGACTCCCCCCATTGAGCCCGGCTGTCCTGAAAAGCCCTGGACCCTCCACTGCCCTGGGGGTGACTAATGCCCAGGCCCTGCTCTCTGGGGTGAGGCGGCTCTTCCCCCGCACTGCCCCCTCCCCTCTGTGCCCTGGGCGGGGGGTGGAGGCTGCAGCAGGGGAGGGAGTTTCCCTCTGGGGTTTCAAGCTGCCTCCTCTGCCCCCCCCCCAAACCCTCCTGCTCCGGGCCTGGCCCTGGGGATGGAGCAGCCCCGGCCCCCGCCGCGG